GGATTGGGCTGGATCGGAGCGTGACTGCCCTGACAGCGAGGGGCCCCCAGACCTCCAGTAGGAGCTCGTGAGGGTCATGACGAAAGCTGTCCAGGAGCTCGAGCTTACCTGGAGCCTTCCGAAGGAGCCTGCCGGGAGTAAGCTTAACTCCTGGTATTTTAGATCCTCTCGCCGACAAACTGATTCGAGGGCGTCGGTCCCCCTTCTTCCCCGATGTCCACTAACAGCTCGTGAAGACGTGGTCTGCGCCCCAATCGGCGCACGTCCAGTCTAACACGCAGGCCATTTTCTCACACGTGGACGGGATGGAGGCCCGTGCTTACGTGCGCACTCCCCCCATCAAGGAATCCGTCACCTCGCACCTATGCCCTGCACCGGCCAAGACCCTGGGCTCGGACATCAGTCTCCTGTCTAAACTGTGCAGGACCACTGCCCACCTCGCTAACAAGGCCTACGCAGCGGATGATGAGGCGGCGTCAGTGCTGCATGCCATGGCGGTGCTGCAGGTGTTTCAGGCGAAGCTCCTGCAGATGGAGGTGGGCGGAGCCCTCAGACCGGATGCCATTAATGACTTCGCTTTGATGGTCACAAAGTGCTCAGGCGATTGGTAAGGCGATGGGCATTATGGTCGTCCTTTCAGAGGCACCTATGGTTGAACCTAGCTGGCCTCAAGAATGAGGACCGTAAAGTTCTCCTTAATGCCCCGGTGACTCCCTCTGGCCTCTTAGGTGATGCCGTGGAGTCTTCGCGTTGCTTCGCAGAGGCTCAAAAGCGCGCTAAAGTGATGAGTCACGTAATGTCGAGGCGCGCTTTCCAGCAGCAGGCCGCGAGATCCCGGTCTTCTTCGGCACACGGTCCAGTGCAGAGCAGGGACACCACTACCTCGACTGCTGCTGCCCCTCACCAGGAGTCAGATGTGCGGAGGAAGGTATGGGGACCCGGGAAGAGGCGCCACGGCCAGCGGAGGAGCCTGCACCGCGACTTCCGTCTCTTGTCCAGTCGGTCCAGGATCAGAACGAACTGTTATACATATAGGCTAACAATAGCCTAACAATCTTATTGTCAGGTTTATGTTCTGTTATGTGGATCGTTATTTTGTCATTTCCTTCTGTTTACTTCACTTCCCGTTTCAACGCTATTTGGTTTCGGTTTCATTGGTTTCTTGCTCGCCCCACCTCAGAGCGGTGCAGAGCAGTCACCCTCACCGATTATAGCCACGCAGCACTTGCCGGCGCATCCAACGACCAAGCCGCTAAAGCTGCTATGTCAGTTCCTGAGCACGTAGGAAGTTATTTTGGGAATCTCACGCTGGCTACTCGGTATGATAGAGCGTGGGTATATCCTTCAATTCAGACGCAGACCACCCCGTTTCAATGGTGTGGTGCACTCTCTAACATTGCCTCAAAATGCCCCGTTTCTGAGACAAGAGGTATGCAGCCTGCTCGAAAAAGGAGCAATAGAGCGAGTCCCTCCAAGCGAGCTGGAGGGCAGGTTTTACAGCTGCTATTTCATGGTAGATGAAAAGACGAAAAAAGATGGGGGACTCCGTCCGATCCTAGATCTAAGGCCTATCAACAGCGCTTTGCAACCGTCCGTTCAGAATGATGACGCTGAAACGGATGCTGGCGCAAACTCGCTGGTTTCGTCCATGGATTTAAATGAAGCATACTTTCACATTCAGATAGCACCACATCACAGACGCTTTCTAAGGTTTGCTTTCAAGGGTGCGGTGTACCAGTACTCTGTTCTTCCATTTGGGCTGGCTTTAGCCCCACGCACTTTCTCGAAGTGCATGGATGCAGCACTTTCCCTCCTCAGAGTGAGCGGGATGCGCATTCTCAACTATCTGGACGATTGGCTGATTTTATCTCACAGGACACGCTAGTTGGCCATATAGACACGCTGCTTCGTCACTTGGAGTCCCTAGGGCTATGTGTCAACATGCAGAAGAGCATTCTCGCCCAGAGTCAGTCTATAACATATCTGGGGGTGTGTTTCAACTCAGTGGAGATGTGCGCCCGTCTCTCTCGGGAGCGCTTGGTGGCCATTTTGTCTTCCCTGCGCCATTTCAGACTAGGCAACTCTGTTCACTTGAAGGAATTTCAGAGGCTGCTGGGACTCATGGCAGCAGCATCAGCAGTGTGTCATCTGGGTTTACTACACATGCCCGCTGCAGTTATGGACGGCGTGGACTTTGGGCCGTTTGCACATCGTGGTCTCCCACGGCTGCATCGAAGCTCTGAGGCCGTGACACAACCCAGATCTCTTCAGCTGGAGGGTTCCCCTGGGCTTGGTGATGTTGCGCGTTGTGTTCATGACAAACGCATCGACTCACGGCTGGGGAGCAGTGTGCGAGGGCATGCCGGCCTCGGGGCTGTGGGCAGAACGCCAGAGCCGGTGGCACATAAACTGATTGGAGCTGGAAGCAGTGTTCTTAGCTCCTAAAGGTTTTTCGAACGCAGCTGGATCAGCGGCATGTACTGATTTGCACTGACAACATGTCTGTGGTCTCGTACATAAATCACCAAGGAGGTGTGCGCTCCAGGGCGCTGTACAAGCAGGCAGCGAATCTCCGGTGGGCGGACCGTCACTTTCTCTCCATCAGAGCAGCGCACATCCCCGGTCTCCTGAACCATGGGGCGGACATGCTTTCGAGGAAAAGGATTCCTCAAGGAGAGTGGAGGTTGCACCCCGAGTCAGTTCAGATGATTTGGACCCGCTACGGAAGAGCGGAGGTGGATTTGTTTGCGTAGAGTGAGAATACGCATTGCCCGCTGTTCTTCTCTCTGTCTCACTCCCCGCTGGATGGGGATGCTCTGACGTCGCCCTGGCCAGCAGCCAGACTGTACGCGTTTCCCCCGATCAAGATATTGCTGCTGGTGTTATGCAAGATCAGAGAGGAGGGGGCTTCGGTGATACTCATGGCCCCGTGCTGGCCAAACCAGCCTTGGTTCCTAGACCTGACAGAGCTGCTGGTGGTGCCGACCTGGCTGATTCCTGTCAGGAAGGATCTGCTGTCTCAAGCGAGCGGCTCGGTGTGGCACCTGAACCCGGAGTTATGGAGCCTTCATGTGTGGCTGCTTCGGAGATATCAGAGGAGCTGAGCGCCCTGCATTTTTGAGTGCTTGACACGCTTTCGGAGGCGCGGGAGCCCTCCACGAGACGTTTGTATGCCATAAAATGGGGAGTGTTTGTGAAATAGTGCCGTGATGCTCATATCGACCCGGCTGCTTGCTCCGGTTATCTCGCTGAGTGTGTAACTTGTTCAGGCTGCTCATAGCCTCTCTCATGGCGGGATTGAATGTCATTCCCATAGCAGAGAAACCTCCGCAATGTCTCGTGAAAGCTCGACCAGCTAAGCGGCGTTCAGAATCAGATTCTGACGTAATTGTCGCATGCACCGCATTTTATACTGCCTCTGGAGCTCGTTAATATTTGCATGCGATTTGCATACTTTGCGACAATTGGCCAGTCAATTGGACAGGCGAGAGCCAATAGGACTTCAAGAAAGGCCGGAAGGGAAGGAGTTCCCATAGCGGAGAAACCTCCGCGATGTCTCGTTCCCGCTCTCAGGGAACCGAGGTTACGATAGTAAGCGGAGACGTTTGTCATGACTCACCATTTGTTTTTTTCTTTATTTTTGTATGGTTTTTACTGATATGCAAGTAGACACTAAATAATATAATGAGATATAGTTTGTCTTCCTTTTTCTTATTATCCTTTGTGGACTTAAATATATACTTTTTTCTCTCTCTCAGGGTACAGCCAAGGAACGTAGCTACGGGGAGGTTAAGTTTAAACAGTGTCCAACAGAAAGTATGGCTAGGGAACATTTTAAGAAGCATGGCACTGAGCACTACTGGGACTTGGCTCTGAGTCAGAGTGTTCTGGAGACAACTGATTGGACCCGCTACGGAAGAGCGGAGGTGGATTTGTTTGCGTAGAGTGAGAATACGCATTGCCCGCTGTTCTTCTCTCTGTCTCACTCCCCGCTGAAAGGGGATGCTCTGACGTCGCCCTGGCCAGCAGCCAGACTGTACGCGTTTCCCCCGATCAAGATATTGCTGCTGGTGTTATGCAAGATCAGAGAGGAGGGGGCTTCGGTGATACTCATGGCCCCGTGCTGGCCAAACCAGCCTTGGTTCCTAGACCTGACAGAGCTGCTGGTGGTGCCGACCTGGCTGATTCCTGTCAGGAAGGATCTGCTGTCTCAAGCGAGCGGCTCGGTGTGGCACCTGAACCCGGAGTTATGGAGCCTTCATGTGTGGCTGCTTCGGAGATATCAGAGGAGCTGAGCGCCCTGCATTTTTGAGTGCTTGACACGCTTTCGGAGGCGCGGGAGCCCTCCACGAGACGTTTGTATGCCATAAAATGGGGAGTGTTTGTGAAATAGTGCCGTGATGCTCATATCGACCCGGCTGCTTGCTCCGGTTATCTCGCTGAGTGTGTAACTTGTTCAGGCTGCTCATAGCCTCTCTCATGGCGGGATTGAATGTCATTCCCATAGCAGAGAAACCTCCGCAATGTCTCGTGAAAGCTCGACCAGCTAAGCGGCGTTCAGAATCAGATTCTGACGTAATTGTCGCATGCACCGCATTTTATACTGCCTCTGGAGCTCGTTAATATTTGCATGCGATTTGCATACTTTGCGACAATTGGCCAGTCAATTGGACAGGCGAGAGCCAATAGGACTTCAAGAAAGGCCGGAAGGGAAGGAGTTCCCATAGCGGAGAAACCTCCGCGATGTCTCGTTCCCGCTCTCAGGGAACCGAGGTTACGATAGTAAGCGGAGACGTTTGTCATGACTCACCATTTGTTTTTTTCTTTATTTTTGTATGGTTTTTACTGATATGCAAGTAGACACTAAATAATATAATGAGATATAGTTTGTCTTCCTTTTTCTTATTATCCTTTGTGGACTTAAATATATACTTTTTTCTCTCTCTCAGGGTACAGCCAAGGAACGTAGCTACGGGGAGGTTAAGTTTAAACAGTGTCCAACAGAAAGTATGGCTAGGGAACATTTTAAGAAGCATGGCACTGAGCACTACTGGGCCTTGGCTCTGAGTCAGAGTGTTCTGGAGACAACTGACGATTGAGATACAGACAGTACTCAACAGAAAAACAGAGAAACAGTGGAGCCTGTGGCATGTGCACCTTGCATGCATGTTTTTTCTTTTTTCATTTTTTTTTTTTTTTTGAGAGAGAGAGGGAAGGAGGTGGAATAGACTGGCAGAGAGAAACGTACATGTAAATTGTTTGAGCGTGTAAGAGAATGTGTTTTCGTACCTGCAATACAAGTGTGCAAAGCTTAAGAACAAGAGTTGGTGTAATGAACTAGATTGTTAACCCTAATGTGTACTGCAGAACTTTACAATGCTGGAAGCTTGAACAGGAGTGGACACTGATTTTGTATCTCTTGTAACAAGTTTTATAGTGTAGGCTGTGCAGTCTTTGATCTTGTGTGATTTCTACCTTTGATCCATCTTGTTTGAGTCCTGCATCTTGTGCTCTCAACATTTTGATGCAGTCCTGTAAGTAAATAAGACTCACTCCTGAAATAAGTTAATTGACACTGTGTAGTTTGTTACTAAATGCACAAACGAGTATTGGTTTCTGTATGACACAAAACTGTTAATTCTAGTATGGCTAAAGAATGGAGAAAGATTTTACCTGTAAATGTCCAACAGGAAGTGACCGAACACGGTTGTTTAAGGCCCCTTTTTTTTCTTTTTTTTTCTAATTTCATGTCAAGGATCAAATGTGAAAAGTACAAATAACCAAGTGCCAATGATTAAAGCTAAGAGGAAAAGAAAAATCTTGTTTGTAGATGGAGTCTTGGTTCATTTTATGATATATAATTTCAAGACATTGAATTTATTGAAGAAAACCACCTTGGCTATTTCCAGTTACAAAAGATGACCTCCAGTCGCATACAGTAGTGGAACAACAGTATTCGGACTAGGCATTATTTGTGAAGATGATTCAAAACTGTTTCCTAACCCTCTTCCTGGAGTACCCACTTGACCACACATTTTGTATATCTCCCTAATTAAACACACATTTCAACTTCTCAGTTAAGACTTTGAAACTCCAAGGGGATAAGGGAAGTTTCCGTTGACACCCCTGACCCCTTGATTTTGTTTTAGGGAGCAGGTATACTCCTATGTATGCTTCAAGCCGCCCCAGCTATCAAAATGCATATCGATCATCACAGCACATGCCATTTAACATCAGCTCAAGTTGTATGATTATATACTTTGAGATTTCAGTGCTTAATACTTGTATCTATCTTAAGATTACTTTTTTGTGTTGTTATCATAGGTGAATATACTGGTGCATTATAAATGATTAATAAGCTCTATAGCGGATTCGAAGTGATCAAGGGCATTTCACTTAAACCAGTTTCTTGGGTTCCACCAATAGTGGGTACTTGCTCAAAGTAAGCAAATTTGTACATCCAAATCCACAAGATTAAAGGAAGTTGTTGAGGGAAGGGAATAGAACTTGGAAGTGGAACACAGCCCAAGTCCATAACCTGAAATGGGTGTGTCATGCTGAAACATCTAAAAGGTTTATGTTGTGGCTACTCAAGAGCCAGGGTTGGAAAACGGTGGCTGATAAGAGTCTTGATTCCAGTCATGCAACTGTATCCATAGCAGTGTACATTATTCATTTTAAGTCAGAATCATCAAAATGACATGAGACCATGGGGGTATTCCAGAATGCTGGTTCTGTGATATACCAGGGTACGTTTACGGAAAACCTAAACTTTCAGTTCCAAAAGCAGACATAACTTTCAGGGTGTTTAAGTAGCCATAGCAACTTATGCCCTCAACATAACCAGCCCCGGACCAGGTTTTCTTGTGTGTTCACAGTGAACAAACATACATGAATTGTATTCATGGTTTTGGAACCAGCTTACCTCAAGTTTTGGGTTAATCAACTGAGAGTTCTGGAAATGTGTTTTCACAACAGAAATGGTAGCTGTTTTGACAGCTCTTTAGTGGATGGAAATCCAGCTTTTACAGGTGCATCTCAATAAATTAGAATGTCGTGGAAAAGTTAATTTATTTCAGTAATTCAACTCAAATTGTGAAACTCGTGTATTAAATAAATGCAATGCACACAGACTGAAGTAGTTTAAGTCTTTGGCTCACATTTAACAAAAACCCACCAACTCACTATCTCAACAAATTAGAATACTCCATAAGACCAATAAAAAAAAACATTTTTAATGAATTGTTGGCCTTCTGGAAAGTATGTTAATTTACTGTACATGTACTCAATACTTGGTAGGGGCTCCTTTTGCTTTAATTACTGCCTCAATTCAGCGTGGCATGGAGGTGATCAGTTTGTGGCACTACTGAGGTGGTATGGAAGCCCAGGTTTCTTTGACAGTGGCCTTCAGCTCATCTGCATTTTTTGGTCTCTTGTTCCTCATTTTCCTCTTGACAATACCCCATAGATTCTCTATGAGGTTCAGGTCTGGTGAGTTTGCTGGCCAGTCAAGCACACCAACACCATGGTCATTTAACCAACTTTTGGTGCTTTTGGCAGTGTGGGCAGGTGCCAAATCCTGCTAGAAAATGAAATCAGCATCTTCAAAAAGCTGGTCAGCAGAAGGAAGCATGAAGTGCTCCAAAATTTCTTGGTAAACGGGTGCAGTGACGTTGGTTTTCAAAAAACACAATGGACCAACACCAGCAGATGACATTGCACCCCAAATCACAGACTGTGGAAACTTAACACTGGACTTCAAGCAACTTGGGCTATGAGCTTCTCCACCCTTCCTCCAGACTCTAGGACCTTGGTTTCCAAATGAAATACAAAACTTGCTCTCATCTGAAAAGAGGACTTTGGACCACTGGGCAACAGTCCAGTTCTTCTTCTCCTTAGCCCAGGTAAGATGCCTCTGACGTTGTCTGTGGTTCAGGGGTGGCTTAACAAGAGGAATACGACAACTGTAGCCAAATTCCTTGACACGTCTGTGTGTGGTGGCTCTTGATGCCTTGACCCCAGCCTCAGTTCATTCCTTGTGAAGTTCACTCAAATTCTTGAATCGATTTTGCTTGACAATCCTCATAAGGCTGCGGTTCTCTCGGTTGGTTGTGTATCTTTTTCTTCCACACTTTTTCCTTCCTCTCAACTTTCTGTTAACATGCTTGGATAGAGCACTCTGTGAACAGCCAGCTTCTTTGGCAATGAATGTTTGTGGCTTACCCTCCTTGTGAAGGGTGTCAATGATTGTCTTCTGGACAACTGTCAGGTCAGCAGTCTTCCCCATGATTGTGTAGCCTAGTGAAGCAAACTGAGAGACCATTTTGAAGGCTCAGGAAACCTTTGCAGGTGTTTTGAGTTGATTAGCTGATTGGCATGTCACCATATTCTAATTTGTTGAGATAGTGAATTGGTGGGTTTTTGTTAAATGTGAGCCAAAATCATCACAATTAAAAGAACCAAAGACTTAAACTACTTCAGTCTGTGCATTGCATTTATTTAATACACGAGTTTAACAATTTGAGTTGAATTACTGAAATGAACTTTTCCACGACATTCTAATTTATTGAGATGCACCTGTATATGGTGATTTGTTCAGATTCATATTCAGCATTAACAAGATAGTTAAGTGTTCTACATCAAGGCAAAACATACTTCATGCTGAAACTTTTAACAGACTGTTCGGAATATGGGTCAGCTTTTTATGGGTGTCTGCTCATGTAGTACTGTGAAGGTGGGTCACCTGTCCAAGCAGATCCTATAACAAGTTACCCACCTACAAAAAGACTACAATCAACCCACCTCATCTGTCTGGCCACCCCCACTAAATGTAAAAAAAAAAAAAAAAAAAGAAAAATCCCCAACGCGAAAAACCATTTTTTTTCGGGTTAGTAATCTCTGCTTTATCCTTGGCTTTATTCTCGACCTGTAGCATGTATGCCAGTTTGGATCCATAGGCACAACGGAGGAGGATGCGAGAGTCGGTG